TTTGCTTGAAATAACACTGACTAACAGTACTTTCATAAAACTTTATTTTTAAAAAATTAAAAAGGCTGAAAATTACAACCATAATACAAGAATTAGAATTAAAAAGGGCAGTGCAACATAAAACTAATCCTGGTGCAATCCCTTTCAGCCTGAGAGTGAGTTCCATTTTGGAGGTGTTCTTGGCATGGCGTTCCCATCATGGGTGGGATAAACTTACCAATAAAGTTTAAGGCTTTCACTGCAAGTGACTTAAGCCTTATTAGCAGAAACGCTTCAGCCTTTTGGATTGGGCAGCAGGAGGGGGAGATGCAAAAAACCTGAGAGTCTGCCTTCTCTAAAGCATCTGATGCTCTGTGTAAGCATTTCGCCTCTATTTCTGTACCCGAGTGCAAAATACCCACAAACACTTTTCCCCCTCAAGATCATTTCAGGGAAGGCCTTTGTGGTACTTCCCTAAAAATAAAGGAAACCACCTTTCTGGCCCACTCCACTCCTGTACAGCACTGTAGGATGAGCTGGAGTTTAGGACAACGTGGAGGTTGCAGAAGGGCAACTAGTCTGCCTATGAGCTGTTATCACAGCAGCAGAAACAAAAATGAAAGTGCCTGCCAGGAACGGGCCGTTTCCTCCCTTTCCTACTCCAGCAGACATAGTTGAAACCATAGAAGTCTGGTCCTTTATCCAAGCTCTACAGGTTTCCAAATAGCATAGCACAAAGTAATCTTCTCTTTGAGGTGTGGGAGGAGCATCTTCCCATGTGAAGAGTTGAATTTAAACTTCAATATCACCTGCTCCCGTCCCTTTCTGAAAGGTCTCTCTACCTGCAGGGTGTGTCCTGCTGCTGGTGGATTGGACAGTGGGGATTTTGGACACTTCTTACTTCGTCCGCTCCCTCTGCCAATCATCTCTTTAAAGGATCAAGGAATATTCCCCCACCTCCACCCCTCCCGATTCTAAAATATCTTCCTCACTTTTCAAGGTTTTCACTTTGTAACCTTGAAATTTCCAGGCCACCTTCCCACCTCTGCCTCCCCTGCTTCCTCTGTGAATCCACCAGGGGAAATGATCACTTTGAGGCACCCCCTCTAATGAGAAACCCTTGGGGGAAATGAAAAGCTGCTTTCTCTTCTAGTGGGAAGTCCCACCTCACCAAAACTGTTGAATGGTCCTTCCCCACAATTTGTCTGCTGCATGCAGGGTGGAGGATGTCAAAAGGCTATTTGCAGAGAGCTCTGGATCTACCAAGAAACATATGGAGGAAATTATTAAGCGCTGCAAATAAAGTCTGTTTCTGTAGTGCTTTCCTTCAGTTTTATTTCTCAAAGAGGGTTTGCATCTCTTTGGTCCAGATGCTGATGGCATATGGGACAAGCGTGTGTGAACAGGTCTGTGTCAGTGTGTGGCAGATCAAAATGCATATTTGCTAGTGTACCCTGTTTGCCTGCCTTTCTGTATTTCCTCTTTTGATCTGGGACATCAAACATCTGACATCTGTCTGGCTTTCTGTGGAGAAATAAACACCACACATCTGAAGCTGAGATCACTCCTGTGGGTGATTTGAGATGAGGCTTCATTCCCCCTTCTTCCTTCTACCACCTCCATCCCCACCCACTCTAGGTACATGGTGTTCGCAAGCCAAGACTGGTCCTATGCATTCTTAAGTCTCCCCCACAGTTCTCAGTCTGTGTAAGGCCCCCAACTTCAGTGGAAGAGCAGTGCTTCCGTACATGAAATGATCTCATTTCTTCAATGCACCACTCTAAATCCCCCATCACCTCCCTGTGGCCTTTCTTATCATCTGACTCAGACTACAGAAGGTAGAGGTGCAGAGCACTTGTTTTGATGAAATTCCTCCATCAACAAAAGAAAAAAAAATCTCACGATTGGCATTCTGCACGCTTCTGGAGGGATTATGCACTGACCGGAAAACTTCCACCCCTTGATTGTATGCCAATCAGTGTTACATTCATTGCCACCCTTGTCCAACAATGCTGTTTTTATAGCCTTCTGTTTCCATGTGAACCATCTGAATGAATCCATTTTTTAAGGAAATTTGTATTGACGTTAACTCTTTATTTTCATACACTCTTATCTGCAGTCTCTTCATTTCAGGAAATGACTCCTTGAGTAGATAGTGGTAATATTGGAAAAATAAGAGAACTTTGGTGGATCTCAAGAGGACATCCTTCGGAGCCACCACAACAGCCTGCTCCAAGCGGACACCTAGAGATGGATAAACATGTCATTATAGTTTCTCTTGCATTCATTTTTTTTTTAAAGCAGGCTATGCAGACATTTGCAGATTTGGGCATGTGGGGAATGGTACTGAATGAAATTCTTATTAAACTGTACTGTTCTGATTCAGTAGCAGTCTTTGAACTCAATAGTGCAATTATTTCCATGTGGAGAGAAGACCATTTTAGTTCACTGCCATAGAAATAGTAAAGATCTTAAATAAGGAATAGAAAAATTTCTGAAGGGGCAGTCCTAATTCAGCACTAACATGGGTTAATATGCAAGAATTCAAGTCCAGATGCTGAAGAGCTAACCAGTCAAAGAATTTGATCTGAATGGATGAATCTGTCCATTTGGGTGTTCCACATCTGCCTAGTTCTTCCATCCCAAACATGAAGAACTTTGTGAATTTTAGTAAATTCATATCAACACAAAATTAAATGACATTCACACCAACCTCTAGAGAGACATCTCTCTCTTCTTCTCTCTCTCTTATACTGCTGTTCCCAGCTGTTTGGATAAGTAAATGAAAAAGATCATGCTCTCATCTGAGCTGAGAGACTGTCAGCATTTCGAATGAGGAGTTACTCAGTGAAGGAGAACATGAGGAAGTCAGTGTTTATAAATCCTATGGTAAAATAAAATATAAAATACATTGCAGATGTAAACATTTTGAAGGTAGGCTTCTATCTTGTATAAAAATTTTTCCCTAAAACTACAAGTGTGCAGTTCAGTAGCCAAATATCAACTTTCTCCATCTTCCATAGTCTTTTGTTTGCATTATAGGGAGATATTTTGTTTTTCGCCTGGTATGCCAGCTACAGGACAGGGGCAAGGAGTTCAAATGAACAATGAATTTAAAAAGAATGCTGGCTAATCTTTAAAATTGCAGAGACGATACAATTTAAAATCCCAGCTTTGAAATCTTTCATACTTCCCTCTCCCCACCCTCCAAGTGGTCCTTTTTTCTGACACAAGAAGCCCTAGCAAGGCAAAATAATAAAAATAATAATACATAATATTAATAATGAATGCCTCTTTTACTCTCAAATACCTGGAGGAATATTTCTCTGTAATACTTTGTCAAAGGGAATAAGTGCCTGAGAATCAAAACCAGAAAAGGAAAATGGCTCATGGAGCTGTGAACACTTTGATGCTCAGTTGTTTCTCTAATCCCAGTTCAGTGCCAAAGGTACTGGGTTACTTTAAAAAAACAAACAAAAACCATGTTTTGACAGTTTCTTAGGTGGTGAGAAGGAAAAGATGAAAGAATGAAAGAAATCAATGGGTTATATGATTTGTTCTGAAATTCATTTGCTTAGCTGAAGCGAGTATAGCATCAGTTCAAAAATGATTTGACTCCCAAGAGTTTTGTGTATGAACAATTCTGGTTTTGGTTGGTTAAAACTCAGGAGAGAATGCGAAAGAGGCCCTTTCTGGACAGCCTCATTCTTTTTTCTCAATGATAATACAGGATTCTAGAATGCATGGTTACCCTGGCTCCAACAGGCTTGAGACAAAATGTGGGGACATTCATATGCATGTTTATTTATTGAATTTGTACAAAAGCTGTCCATTAGAATAAAGCTTTCTGGGTGGCCATTACAATAAAATAGCAGTAGCAACATTGATAAAGTAATAAATTAAAATATTATAATAGTCAAAACAATATCTCAACAAAACATTAATAAAATAAAATTTATTAAAACTAAATTTAAAATTATTAAACTTAAAGACCAAATTTGATTGTATCTTTAGCAAATCCCTGCTACCAGACAGAGTGATAGTGCTTTGTGAGTCAAGTCCATCACCCTGAAGTTGCACAAGGAAGTACAAAAACTGAGTTAATATTTGGATGAAATTCTTTGCTTGCAGTGACTTTGCAATCCATTTACTTTTGTACTGGGGACAGATAAATCTATTGGTTTCTCCCACATTTGGTTTTATTTAATTCCCAAGTCCTTTCTGACCCATGCGTGAGACCAATACCACATTTTGATAAGTTCCTATCAAACAACAAGCTGTGTAATAGTTGTGCCTACCTGCACTGGCCAAATTCAATAGGCATGGCACTCTGGAGAGGACTGGATTGTACCTGTGTGCCGTAAAGCTGATATGGATGAGTCAAGGAGTCTGATAAGTGAAAAAATAAATAAAAAGAGGAGACAAAATTTTACCAAATGCACAGGGATCCAAGGCCAGGCTTTTAAGAGGTAAGCACTCAAGGACGGCTGAATAGGTGTGTAAGTGTGTCTGTTCCATTTCCTCTTTTTGTTGTTGTCAATCGCGAAGTCGTGTCCGACCCATCACGACCCCATGGACAACATTCCTCCAGGCCCTCCTGTCTTCCACCATCTCCTGGAGTCCACCCAAGTTCACACTAACTGCTTCAGTGACTCCATCCAGCCACCTCATCCTCTGCCGTCCCCTTCTTCTTTTGCCATCTATTGTTCCCAGCATTCGGCTCTTCTCCAGGGAGTCCTCCCTTCTCATTAGGTGGCCAAAGTATTTGAGTTTCATCTTCAGGATCTGGCCTTCTAAAGAGCAGTCGGGGTTGATCTCCTCTAGGACTGACTGGGTTGATCACCTTGCTGGCCAAGGGACTCGCAGGAGTCTCCTCCAGCACCACAATTCAAAGGCCTCAATACAGACAGTCAAAAATTACAAATCTTGAAAGTTCTTAAAGCAAGGAACCAAGGGAAGTTCTCTCTCATCACTATCCCAGACCTTTAACGAAAGAGGACAGAAATATACCTGTTCAGGACTGAAAATGTTTCTAGTGTGGGAGAGCCCACCACCGTTCTAGACAACTGGTTCCACTGTTGTATTACTCTGATAGCAGGGAAACTTCTCCTGATAACTAGCCTGAATCTGGGTTATCACAACTTGAACTGATTATTCCATATGGATGATGGTGGAATGGTGGATGATGAAATGGTTCTGCCTTCCCTTATCTTCCTTAGCATAGCCAGCTGGTGGTGACACAAGAAAGCCAAAGAGCCTTCATGAGAGAGGTCTTCAGCATGGCTGGTGACAGAGCCCTTCTCTCTCTCTCTCTCTCTCACTCTCTCTCTCTCTCTCATGCTTAATATGTCACAAAATTAGAAAAGGAGGGATAAACAGCCAAAATTTTTATCACAGGTCATGAGTGCAAACAAAGAACTCCCTCCAATAATCACAAATCTCCTGCTTCTTTTCTTGTTTAGTAGTAGCTACAGAAGTTTCTTTCTTTGAAGACAGGAGCAGTTTATATAATTGGCAGATAAAAAGGCATGAAATTATGTGAGTTAATGACAAGAAATGAATGAGGCTGCTTTCCTGAATATCAGAGTTCTGTCATGCTTAAAGTAATTTACGTTTCAAGCAGTTTTGAAATTGGTAGGCCAGTTAATGATCCTGGACTGGGTATCTTTCTCGATGTGGGTTAAATAAATAATTGGGACATAAAAAATAGCCAAGGTCACAAGGAAGTCTTAAGGTGGCAATGTAGAAGAGTTGATTTAAGGTACACTTTTCCTTTCTGTCTCTTTCTGTCTGTCTCTCTCCTACAATCCCCATTTAATATTAATGAAAGAATCTGCACCAGAAAATTTAATGTAAAGGTCAGTCTCATCTGACAGTAAAACAGAAAACTAATTTAGAAATTGGTTTGCCTCTCTTGAATGATAAATGGCATAATTTATTCAGAACTGGAACATAACTTCTCCAGAATACTGGTCTCACTTCACTTCATGTTTATTTTCCTACAGATCTGTTTCTCAACATGCTTAGAGAATGGCTTTCAGATAATTTCATCATTTCAAAAGTTGATTAAAAATTAAAAAATAAATAAAATTTTATTTTATTGTCATCATTTGCTGATGGTTTTTTATTGACTGCCCCTCCCGTATCGCTTGTTCACTGACACCACAATCCAATCCATGTCTACTTGGGAGCAAGTGCCAATCAGTTCAACAGGGCTTATGCCCAGGCAAGAGTAATAAGATTGTACCATTAGATGAGATGAGTCTTATGCAATTTTAGCTGGGAATGAATTCTGCAGAATTCTGTGGAACTTCTGCTCTTTATCAAGTTTGCATAAGGTTACGAGATTCTTTCTAATACATATGAGATATTAGCCAACCCAGAAGACTGAAGGAACACATAATTAACCTGTATTGCTCTTCATTTCTGTTTTACTGTTTAATGGATGGTTTCATTGTATTTTTTTCTTGTTTTCTATTATAACCTACTTCAGGGCTTAGTTATTTATGATTTGAAAAATATAAGGTGGTATGGAGATGATCTGCCTAACAATACAAACACATAAAATAAATACAAATACTTTGGGTGGTTGAATATGCAGCTCTTAACTTCCTCTCTCTTGTAATCCTTCTGCTTGTTGTTATGAGGTGTCAGGTGGTCTCTGACTTATGGAGACCCCAGGAAGGTGAGCCCTCCAAAAAGATCTCTCCATAACAGCCCTGCTTGCCTCTTGTAAATTCCAGACTCTGACTTCCATTATGGAGTCAAGCCATTTTGTACTTGGTCTTCCTTTTCTCTTTCTTCCATCAACTTTCCCCAGCATGATTGTCTTCTCCAGTGAGTCTTGCTGTCTCGTGATGTGTCCAAAGCATCATAGCTCCACTGTTGGTTTTGCTTCTAGGGAAAGCTCTGGCTTGATTTGGTCTAGACCAAATTTGGTTTGTCATCTTGTCAGACCAGAGTATTCACAAAGCTCTCTTCTCTGCACAGTGCCATCCTTCTCAGGTGACCTTGTGTTTGGGGAGGCTGTGAGGTCTTCTTTGCCTGGGAGTTTAGCTCAGCACACTTTGAACCACGTGAAACACCATCAATTTGCCATGTTCTCATATTGTGCAATTATTTTCCTGCTAGGTTTTCATGATGGGATAATTTTATATCTTTGAAGAACACAGTGTTAGAAGAAGAGGTAGCTATTTGGCATCATCATTTTACAATCAATGTGTAGATCTCTCTCTCTCTCTTTCATATCATCATCATCATCATCAACATCTAGCTATCTTAAGTACACACACACACACACACACACAGAGAGAGAGAGAGAGAGAAATAAAATATAAATATATGTGGTTTAGGGTCTTTTCTGCATGTTCACAAGTATTGTGTGTATGTGTTTTGATCTCATTAATTCACTCTTATCTTAATTCTATCTCCTTTCATTTGGCCTGCCAAATTGATCCTTCATTGTCTTCTCACTCCTTGCAATCTATCAGTTAGAGCATCATGTACCAGGTTAGAAAGCCTTTATTTTCACACCATAATTAACACTGCAGTCAGTTAATGTGTTTGCTTGCATAATTCTAACTTGCCTTATTCTGGTCTTCTGCCTGCTGTGTTGTTAACAAGAAAATACATTAGACACCACTGGGTTAAGCACATCCTTACTATGTTTCTGATTCCAAAGATTAATGTGAACCCCAGGGTGGGATGCTGTTATCTTTTTAATCCCTTAGGGTACCAACAGCTGCCCAACTCTGCTATCCACAGTTTTCCCATGATGTGTCACCTCCTCCAGCCCAGGATGGACCACTCTTGCCATCCCCTGGGCTCCCTGAAACCCTACTTGGGAGACCTTCAGTCCTGCAATGGAAAACTTTTCCTGCCAGCTTCTGACAGACTGCTAATGGATGCTTCTTGTGCCACCACCTGGCCACATGGCTTTCCCCACTTCCTAGCAGCTCATCTCACAAAAAACCCTCTGGAAGAATGCCTCAAAGTTGCACAATGAATGCAAATTCCCTTGTGAGTCTGACAGGTGCTTTAGAGATTTCACATTATTGGTCTTCAGCTTAGGAACCCATTTCGGAATGCTGTTTCAGACTTATAAATCCCTATACTTTGAGTTCAAACTTGAAGGACCACAGCTTACTATATGAACCTAACTTTAAACTAAGACCTTCATTGGAGGCCAGGCCCAATTACTATTAGGCTGGTGCGCAATCTCTGATATGGGCATAGGTAACATCTTGTTCTGCAAGGTGCAGCAGCCTTAGTGCAATGCCTGTATGAGTGGTGTATTCAAAATATGGTTAGCCATTTGAAATATGAGTTTGCTGTGAGATGCTTGGCTCCATAGCTCCCAGCCCATCTGCCTTCTGCCCTAAGTCCAACTTGAACTGAACATGTATGTGAGCATCTGGAGGATTTCTGCTTGCAGGCATATGATTTGCAGGCTTGGGTGCTTACATACTTTGTGCAGAGAATGACGCAATTTGCGCACTTTGCACAAAGAACTTGCAAACAGTCCTGAGCACTCACAGACTTCCTTGCAGCTCAGCTTGCTTCTTGGACAGGGCTGAGCCTGGGAAGGAAGTCTGGTGAGTGAAAGAGAGATGAAGTTGGGCCTGATCCCTGCATCTCCAGCTAAGAGGTCTGTAAGTAGTTACAGCCTTACAATACAATACACAATGTAACCTTGAAATGCAATGCAATGCAAACTTGAGTTTGTGCTGTCGTCATTCAAAATGCGTAATCTGCGTCTCTCACATTTTGACTTGGCTTGAGTACTCCTGAGAAGAAGACAATTGTTGCCTTAAGGTGAAGTCTAAGCGTACAATACTTAGGACATTACTGATTTCTCCTTTGGGGGAAAAATATATGATAACTGTTGGGAAATCCTGTAAACCTGGACCCTGTAGCCCATTATTATCCAGGATTTTAGGCAGAATTGTTTGTTTCCTTGCTCCATTTGTACCTGGAAGTGGCAGGGGATTGAACCTTAAATATTCTGCAGGGAAACGACATGCTCTGTAACTGAGTCATAGCCCTCCCATCTAGATTCAAGATACTTAGTCACTACAAACATGCTGTTTTTAATCCCCTGAACTGAAATTCAGGAGTATCTACTTCGTCTTCTCTTTAAACCTTGTGCCTTCATCAAGATTCATGATCCGTTGAACCTTGAATGATATAATTGTCTAAGAACCATACATCACAGAAATACCTCATTGCTTTTTCACTTGGTAACCAGGACAGTAAATTAGAAACACAAACATTCGCAAATTTTAGTTTTCAGGAAAACAGTTTTGTGTTAGAAGATCAAGGGGAAAACAAGTGGGCTTTTCTTGCAGAGCTTTTGTTTTCTCAGATTTTCTTTGCAGAGTCTTCCAAATAAAGTTCTGATTTTTTTAAGATTAACTGTAAGGCAATTTGTTCCCATCAGAAGATAAAATTATCTATCCTTCAAGGTTGAGTGGCTGTAATTGCCCATCATATAAATCTCTTGTCAAATAATGCCCTCTGGCAGCATGGCACTAATAATTGTTCAATTACATACTTTTAGCTTTCAAATGGCCAGAGTCAAAATGATGGAACTTTATTAATAGGTACTGGCATAGTTTAAGTGCATGGGGGAATAATGTTTTTCTTTGGAAAATGAGTTTAGTTTTTCAATTAAGGTGTGTTTCCATTCTCTATAACTTTGCAATAACCATGGATGGATTTATTTTCACCAACTGAGTGTACTCAGTCCCCTCATCTGGTACATATGGGAATAGCACAATGCCATATCACTGTCAGTCCCGCAAGGTACTTGACATGACCCGACAGCCGTAATCAACATTTTATGTATAGCTTTGCAAGTGTGCACCTATGTTGTGTGGGACCAATGTACAAAACACTCCTCTAGAGCAACAGCAAATGGGAAGGTCCTTAAGGAAGGATGCCATTTGATCCTGAAAGAAGCTGTAAAAATGCTGGCACTTCTTAGGGTGATGGCTTCCAAGAATGTTCCTGATGGAAGGATCTTCTTCCTCAACACGAAGACTTCTCATTGGTTTGCTTGTTGCTTAATTATCAGACACTTTGTTTCTTAGCAAGCGCTTTCTCTGTGTGTAGGCAGATAGATTGTTTGCTATTATGTTGCTTTTTGACTG